AACGAGATCCGAAGTTCCCACTCAAAGCAACGGAAAAGAAAAGCTACTTTAAATTAATTACAATGAAATATAGTATCGGTCTTTTTTTTGGCAGTTCCGAATTTAACAGCTTAAACAGCTGCGACATTTTAGCGCGGATGCAACAGAAGAGAAAAATAACATTGTATAACATTGTATAACATTGTCGGGACAATGCTAGTTTTGACTGCTAGTGCGGTGTCATTAAAGCATTCAAAAGAATTAACTTAGGATTATATAATGCATTTTTTTACTTTCTTAGAATATGTCTAGTGTGAGTTATTTGTATCTATCACGTAATTCGCATCTTTTACTTGTGTAATTAATCTTTATTCTCTATATTCACTAGTTTTCTTCCCTTTTTTCTCGCACTTTGCGTCCGTATATAATGAAGGATTTGTAAATTCTTGTAAAGTAATTAAGGTAAATAATTCAGCAATTTAGTTTTATCGTATTATTGTAATTAGGGTAAATAATTTAGTTTTTTGTTTTTTGTTTTTGTTTTTGTTTTGTCGTTTGTAATTGCTAATTACCATATTGTCTTACCTAGAGTGATGAATTTCTAGGCCTACGTTTAGTTGTGTTGTGGCGTGTCTTTTCGGGCCTGTTAATGTTTTGTGTTTTGTACATGTTGGAGGGCGCCCACCTTTAACCGCCGCCTGGTTAGCTCAATTGGGAGAGCGCCGGACTGCTGTGCGGGAGGTCGAGAGTTCAATACCGGCCGGACCAACACTCAGGGTCTTAAAATTAACTGAGAAGAATATGCTTCCTTTCTTTAACATCAAGAAATGGTTAGATATTCTAGTCTTCTCGGATAGGGACGAATAAATGGAGGTCCCGTCTCCTGCAGGGTTAGGGGCAGGAGACGTTAATTTCCCACGCACGAGATTACTGTGTGATGGATGTCCTCCCCTGGGGTGGGATGGGTGGGTAACAGGACTCCCGTTGATACCAGTGTTTACTACACTGAAGGGGCTATCCTGTATAAATATAGATGTCTGTCTGTCTGTCATCAGCTCCCGCACCTGCTACCTTGAGACAAACTACGAGTGTATCAGGTTAAGGGGTAGCCAACACCAATGGTGCTTCACGCGGAGGAAAGCAACCTAGATCGCGTGGAAAAGGACTAACGCTACCTGTAAGTGACAATAGCAGCAGTGGTTGCAGTGGAAATAGAAGAGGTAGACGTGGTAGAGGGAGAGGAGGTGGGCATTGTGGTGCAAGAAACACCGGCAAAATCTCAATTCTCCTGATGAGATTGCATCTTGAAATGAATGCTTTTGTTAAAACATGTGACATTTAATTTGTGCATGCTAATAGCGTTACGTTCCTAAGCCCATATGTGTAAGCACTGTAGACCTACTTTTCTATTTGATATCCAACTAATTAGGTGTGGTTGGGTCAGTTGGATTCAGACAAAACATCAGAGGATGAGAAAAACTTACGTTTGGGTAAATTGAGTAATTTTGAAGATATTTTGTTCACTTGGGCAAAGATTCATACCCAACTATTACGATAAGCGTAAAAAACTGGCTCGACTTTTTATTTACAGTTTCCTATTACAGTTTCCATGCTCTGTCTTTGTCCAGAAGCAGCTGGTGGTGGAAACTGGAATTTAATGCTAAGTTTGGAAAAAAACAAAAGAGGAAAGAAAGATATGGCAAGATAGAAGTGAGAATCAGAAACACAGTAATAGTCCATTTTCCATGCATATTAGTTCCAATCAAGCCTTTATTCATATGGGTGAATAAGCACAGTGTATCACATGTCAGCCTGTACCACTGCTCACATTAACTGATGTTCAAGATTGTGAATGTGAATTCCCTGATTGAATTTCAAGACCTTGAATTTGGGTGCACATACAAAATAATGGCGTGGCTCCCCTCCCCCCAAGTCCTCTGGCCCATACCACCACAGCTTATTTCTGCTCCCCTGGCATGGAACCACTAGGAGTAGGAAGGGATGCTAGCTAGGCTTTCCAGTCAGTTTGGTGGGACTCACTGATGTGTTGGAGACAAGGTAGCTTATTGCTCAGTCTGCAAGACTCTGGGTTGAGAGGTCAAGGTTGAAGACCTGGTCAGATCATTATGCTGTGTTCTTAGGCAAAACTGTTCACCCTCACAGTGCCTCTCTCCACTTAGGAATATAAATGGCTACCTGTAAATTCTTGGCGAAGTCTGATGAAAGGCTAGGGATGACCTTGTGAAGGACTGGCACCCCATCAACTCACTTGACTCACATACAGTATGAGAGTGTAAGTCTTGCCACAAGACACAAAACCAGAACTCCAGCCATAGTTAACTATGCTCCAGCAAAGACTTGTACCCAAACCTTCAGATGTGGAGTCCAGTATGCTAACCACAATACTATCATGGCATCTAACCAAGTGAAAGGATGAAAAAGCCATTACATTTTTTTCATAAAAACCTCAAGCAATAAACTCACACCCATATGTTAGCATTGTGTACAAGGCATTTGGAAGTTCATTCAAGCCTCAGTGAATGTTGTCCCAAGGTTAAGGGTTTTACCTAAATCTCTACAAGAGCCATCCATCATGCCATAATTTTCACTGACACTACTACACTTCAAATTAAATGCTTCTGGGGCTTCTATCCTGATGACAATTTTGACTCTCTTGGCTGAACAAGTGTCTTATATACTCAATCTTTTCCTCTGAGAGCATATAGAGAAGCCTACTTGGAAGGTAGAGAGTGGGAACATGACAAAAGCCATAATGTCAACCAATTTTCAATCAAGTGTTGAGAGTAATTGCGAATGCTATTGGTTTTGCTCCATTGCTCTTGTGATTTGTCTACTAGATAACTTGCGTCACAGACATGTTTCCTGTGCTAAGGCACGATTCATTAATTTACTTTGGGTTTGCACTGTTCCCCATACTGTTGGCCTTTGCTCATAAAGCAATGAAGTTTTATTTGAGTCAAGAAGTGCTCTATGCTGTGTGCATAAACTAAAATCAAGTGCATCAAGTCTTCCATGAAAAAATATATATTTTATTGCCCTTGTCATACCAAGAGGTATGTTGGACTTAAATAAAATAAATGCAAATTTACTTTGCAAAAATATGCTCCAAGCGTTGGAAATATTTCATATTTACAAATTTCTGGGGCATTTTTTCATGCAAAGATCCCTATGTCCATTACACAAAGGTGCTGAAAAATCTACAGTTATTTTACATTATAAGCAAAACTGTCATGTTTCAATTTCAAGTATATTGGACATTGTGGAAGTTGATGTTGATGTTGAACAGCAATTTAATAACTTGCCTTGGGGGACCATAAATTAAATTTGAGCACGTATGAAAAATATCATGTTCAAGTTACTTGAACATACGTTTTCATTTGAATGTGATCACAAGAATAGAAAGGACATTTTTTATCAACATGGTTAAAAAGTTATAAAGATTATTAGGGAGTTTAAGGATAAATAAATAATTGACACAGTCTCTGAGCTTATATCCATCTGATTGGTTACAATACCATGCAAAAACATTGCCAAAGATTATGCAACTTGAGGCACAACTGCATGAGACTGTTAGAGCTAATGGAGGAACAATACAAGATCAGGAAGTCTAAATTAAATATTCACAACTCTGTCCTGAGAAAATTTTAATTTGATACGTGACAAATTGATCCAGTACGTTTTCGTCCATTCAATCGAGTTGAAGATAAGTTCCAACGATTGTTTCCTTTTATGGACTGTCAGTCACAGCATTCTGCTCGGAAAATTTTCATATCACTCTCACCCAAAGTTTATTACAAGTGACGGCATATCCTGCCGCAACTTAGGAACGTCACCAAACAAATAATTTATGTGTGTAGTGTTTGCATGTCTCTCTTTCTTCTTAGAGAGCCTCGCAAATGATATGTTTATGTACAAATGTTTGAGTTAAAAATGTGTGAAAACTGAAAGCAAACATTTCACAAGTGGTAATCTGTGATAAACAATAATAACCCACGAACCTGCACGAATCACACAATAGAATATCAGAGATGAAATCCGTTCAAATCTGCTCGGCGCAACAAAAATAGGTTAAAAAATTTCAAAATTAAATGAGAAAGAATTCAAGATTTAGGTGTTAAGAAAATTCGCGCATGTGCTACAATTTTTTTGCCTGTGATAATTACAGGATTATACAAAATTTGGATTTAGGTTGTGCTTTCGCGTTTCTCTCGTTGTTGTCAGCCTTCTGTGGTCGAGAATCCGTCATTAGGTGATTGTTGTTACTATAACTACTCATAGTTGACGTTTTCCGCATAAGCTCTAACTTCTTTTTCGCAATTCGATGCAGGATTACTCTGTAGGTTCCTGTTATACTGTCTCTTGAGTCTCTACAATTTGCGTAAAGATCTGAAGAAATACCAAGTTCTTTCATCGTGCTTAGTGCGTCCCTTTCGTCCTCAGTTAGCTCCGTAACCTTGTCCTCTGGAGGTCGCAGACTATATTTGGTGTCCGGTCGAGGAAAAATCTCCCCTTCTAGCCAGGCAGAGTGCTTTACCTCTTCCATAGTGAATCTATCTGTGGGAACAGGCCTTAAAATGTTTCTTATGAGAAATTTACAGCGATCGGACAAAAACTCCGGCAAATAATAAGTCCCATCTAGAATACATTTCTTCAGCTTTCCTACAGTCTCCGCTCGAAATGGCATAACGCCGGTAACCATGAAATAAAGAAGTATTCCTAAAGCCCAAAGGTCGACATAAACCCCGATGTAATGTTCATCATTGAACAATTCCGGGGCAGCATAAGGTGGCGAGCCACAGAAAGTATTCAGTGTGCTATCCTTGGTCGACAAAGTGCTGAACCCAAAGTCGCCAACCTTCACGAGATTCGGACCCGCAATAAACACGTTCTCTGCTTTGAGATCGCGATGAATAATGTTATTATCATGCTAAAAAAAAAAAAAAAAGGAAAAGGAAAAGATAAGGAGAACAGCATTAGTAACATTGCAACTAAATCTAACGTTAATAATTCAACACCATTATATTTATCATAATGCTGCTCAAATCATCACGAGCAAGAACGATCAGTTTTCTTACGTAATGAAATTAGACTGACCCTGTAAGCTTACCTCGGTTTTCCGTTAGCAAATACCTATTTAGCAGGAAGCGATTTTCGAGTAGTCGACCAGTTTGTTGCCGGTATAAAGCTTGTTACATCAAGAGCTTTCCATAATTAGAGAAACGAATACTAAATTTCTGACTCACCATATGTTCAACAGCGGATGTCACTTGAGCATATATTCGGCGAGCTGTTCGCTCGTGTAGTTTACCCTCATTCGAAATCCTAGCGAACAATTCGCCACCAGCAGCGTATTCCATCACAATGTGTAGCTTCGAGAGCGTTTCGATCACTTCATAAAGTCTGATTATATTGGGATGATGAAGCTTCTCCATAGAAGAAATTTCCCTCGATAACAATCGTTGAGTTTTCTGATCCAACTTTGTCTTGTCTAAAATCTTGATAGCAACCTTGTCTGCAAGGAAAGTGTTTAAGTGAGTTCCACATCGCACGCGAGCGAAATCACATTCATTGATATTTTCGATCACCTAGTAAACTAACCTCTTGTAAGTGAGTGTATTCCCATTTTAACCTGACAGAAGTTGCCGCTTCCTAACTCTCCTCGAATACGATAAAATCCGATTCGCTTGCCGAGAGTTATTTCCTTCAGATAGCGTTCGTCGTGAGCTAAATCGTGCGTTAGTCTTTCGTAAGGAGTTAGACTCTTTTCCCGATGTTGTGATATTGATTGTTTCCGTTCTCCTTCCTCATTAGGCTCCCTAGAGGAAGAATCGGCCATAGTGTTGGAAACTGTCATGGCTGTGATAAGTTGTTCACCTCCATTGCGAGAGAGGTTAGACTGGTTGTTAAGAGCCGTCGGTAGTTCTGTTGTGACGGTGAACAAAGGGCCACGAAAGTCCCGGGCGTTACCATGGAAACGCTGATCCCTCGCTTAGGTTTCCCGTGTGATCGTCAAGTAAGGTGTCCTATTGTTTTTTGTAACTGCCGGCCAATTCCATCGCCAAGTGGGGCGATAAACGGATTTTATGTCACTCTTTAAGGACAGAAAAAAAATTAACGTCAATAATCCTATGGACTAGGTTTAAATATCGTAAAATGGGTTATTAGAGAACTTTTTTCTTGAGATGAATACAGATTAGTGAGCCTTTATCTTCTAAACAAACTTCCCGTAAAGTTTAGTTCTTCCTTGACTTTATCAGCTCTAAGACGTAAATTACACATGGTGATTGTTTTCTTTGAAACAACGAAGTAAGTTAAGTATTTGTGCTTAATATTGTAAATACTAAATTATTGAAGATCTCGGTTTCATTAAATCGCGCTGGGCGGTCATTTAACTAATACTATTGAAAAAATTCAACCATACAAAACAAACACAGCATTCGCTGTAAATGCCTATTTGATCCTGTATGTAGATTATTTGAATGAACTGACGTCCAACTTGCGTGATTAAAGGAACTAAACAAGTTGTGGTTGGCAACGGCACTTCACGCGGTCTCTACTGGACAGTTCTGTTTTAAAACATCTTCACAATTCGTCTTTATCGTTATCAAGCGAAACTGATTTTGTCAAATTTCCAGGATAAAGTTTACAAGGAAAATAACGTATTTGTTGCTGTAGATAAGTAGGCAAATGAGGTGTTAACCATGTGAACAAAAATAACATTTCAAACCAGCCTGAATATTAAAAACCTGGAACTACCGGTATTAACAAAGTTTACGATTTATGTCATTACAATGTAACACAAAGTAATAAAAAATATTCCAAGTTGTTGATGTGAATAGGTAATATTATTTACAAACCTACCCTATACTATAAAATGTAGTAGTGAACGAAAACTCAAAACGTGTAACGCGTCTGACATCCAAGACCATCCAAGGTGGCAAAGTAATATCACAGCTTTCAGGCAAGGAAACATGAGCAGATCGAGGCTTAATTGTCTTAACTTCCCCGCAAAAGCTGTCAAGTGGGTACAACTATGTTATCTTTAGGCATTCTCAATACATCTCATACCACTAAAATTAAACTTCGTTTGGAAAAATATCGCTGTAGGCTTTTTTATCAAGAGAAGTGCCGGTTAACGGGACCAGATCACGGAAGAAAACAGCTGTTTGAATGACTAAGTTATTCATAGCAGCGATTGTTTTCGTTCTTTTGTACGGTGTGCATGTATTACTGGGTAGTTAAAAATTGTACATTTTTCCTGCGGCAGTGAGTGCAGATATGGACCTTAATGTGGCTGGTGGGGAGGTTACTCTAAAAATACCAACCTCCGTCTGATTATCTTCTCAGTCAGGTTCAGCTTCTGTTTCCTCTTGAGTACACTGAGCGACCTACTGCGGACCACTGCCACTTAATCCCAGGTCTTCCCAGCCCTCAGAGCATCAGTCACGCCAGCAAACGTTCTTGCACTGCATTTAGCCTGGAGAGCGGTCGACAGATTTCTGGCCAGAACTTTGATTCTCCGACATGATAAAGGAGTCTCGACGGCACACAAGACTCTAGTGCGTCCAATTTTGGGATGTGGTTGTCAGGTCTGGAATCCGTATTGAGTGAAGCACATCAAAAGTATGGAGTCGATGCAGAGGCGAGCCACCCGAGTCATTTGCGGATCAGAGAAAGAATATCAGGAAAGACTTGGGGTCCTGAAATGGCCTTCGCTTGAGTCACGAAGGAAGTTTATCTGCTTAGTGCAGATGTACAAGATTATTTTCGTACGCTGTGTCATAGAGCCTCCTATGCTTTTTTATTTTAATATATTAGCGAAAACGCGTAGAAAAAAAGACTCGTACAAATTACTTTAAATTTTCATTTTTCAATCGCTACATAACAGACTGGAATAGTATTCCATTGAATGTTAAGCATGCACCTTCATTAAGCAGTTTTAATTCCTATCTATTAGATCATTTGTTTCAATTTTAAATCAGGTGTAACTCGTGAGTGACAAGTATGCAATTCAATTAAGTTAGCTTTTATTCAAATTTTGCTTCTTAATTTGTGCCAAGTTTAGTATGCAATTGAATTAGGTTTATTTTGAGCCGCATTTAAATTTTACTTCTTAATTTTTAGTTTTCCCCAATTATTCTCCAGTCATGCACTTTTTTTTTATTTTCTGTACTCTTATTTACTTATTAACCTTTTTGTATTTTCTGTACTCTTATTTACTTATTAACCTTTTAAACTTAATCCGTCCTCGGACTCCCATCCGGTAGGAGTGGCCAAGTCAACGCAGCAGCGACGGCTGAGTAGAGTCGATGGGATAAAGGGAAATTCTGATCAAAAGTATGAAATAATCCAAAGTTGCCGAATGCTCTAAAAAAAACAGGCGAGGGGTGAAAAAAAAAAGACTGTTTATTTACTCTAGACAATGTGTGCAATGTGCAGCTAGAAAAATTGGAGAAAGTTCACGCCGTAAATAACGCGGCAACTGAGGTACAATTTTATCGAAACTATCTCAGTTGCCACAACTGAGACTTCTAATGGTTTTGATTGTGACACAAGCGTTAACTTGTCGTAACCTTCTCCTCTTAAGTTTTGTAGAGACTGAAGAACGAGCACGATGCGCGAGCGTTTACGGAAATAAAAAAAAAAAAAAAGAAGCGAGGCGAACTCCGCGCCTCGTTTGTAACCCCTTCCTGCCTTGGGCGCTGACCGCTTTTCGGCGGAGAGACGTCTGGGTACGAGGCCAAACTTGACGTCTTACCACAGTCGACTCTTTTTTATCTGCTATTTAACGAAGCAGCACGGGACAAGACTTTACAAGCTTTTCTGGTGGGAAATAATTAAAAGAAAAGTCGAACAAAGCCATTGGACCAACAAGAGAAAACTTTTTCTCAATATTTCACTTACTCTACTAGGAAAGTTTTTCAATTAACTTCGAGTACTCGACCAATTTTTCTTTACCTCTGTCCAAATAGAAATCGTCCATCGGCTATTGAAAATTGTTTGGATTATCCAGACTTAAGTAAAAATGACCGTAGACTGGAAAAAAATGTGTCGCATTTCTGCCTTATACTGAAACAGAGTGCCTTTTACTTGTATCGTTTTATAGTGTGGGGAGGCCGAATGTCACCGCTTCCATTTCACCACAGAAAAGTGAGACATCGGGTTCCACCTTCTTCCGTTTTGATTTCATTTTCCTTTTGCCTAGATTCATTTCTCGTACTTTATATCTCACCGGACGAAGTGTCACAAGAAAAGTTTCTTAAATGCAATGAGTTGACGGCAAGTGTTGTCGTCAACTCTTTGTACGACCAATATTTGAAATGAACTTCACAAAGAGAACAAATAAAACCCAATGCAACAACTTTTATACAAACAACATTAATTTTGAGTTTTTTCCTTATTTACATCGTTCTCGATTTTTTACCAATAAATACTTTGTAAATACGAAGTGGTTGCCGACATCAGAGATTTTCAATTCACTGTCTTGAAAACAACACTAAAGAAATCACAGCAGTTCAACAGAACACAAAGATATAACACAAGGGGCCTTGAAACTCAAAGTAGCAACAGGGAAACTGCCTGAATCGCTAGTGTTGCCATTAGTTTTGATTTACAGAAAATGGTGCAAGTTTCCTCGACGAATCACATAGAGAAGAAAGACAAAACCCAAGAAGTCATGGTTCGCTGTTGACACTTTCGGCAATTTTCGATTGAGTATTGAACTAATTGATCTGAGATTACATTGGTTTGGCACTACTTCGCTCTGTGATTGGTCCTAAAAAGTTGCACCACTTTCTCATCCAATCAGATGCAAAACTAAAAGGAAACACGACTTGGTCGCGCATGTTTTCCCGCGCTTTATGGAAATAAGTTGTTTTTACTTTCTAATTTGGTTATATCAACTCAGTTGAAATATGTAAATTGGCCACCGTAACGAATAAAAAAGCAGACGTTTCGAGCGTTAGCCCTTCGTCAGAGCGAATGACGAAGGGCTAACGCTCGAAACGTCAGCTTTTTTATTCGTTACGGTGGCCAATTTACATATTTCAACTGAGTTGATATAACCAAATTACATTGTTACCCCCACCGACGCAGCACCACAGTTTCTTTATAAACTTTTAGCCTCTATTGTTTTTACTTTGAATTCCTATTGGCTCCTATGGTGGTTTTCTAGCTTCTGATTGGTTGTTGTGACCTTAGTCTTGGTTCTAAGAGACTCAATCGGAAAGCGCTCTGATGGGAAATTCTCCATTTTTTTAGCTTTTTCTGCTGTTTGTAGTGTTGTTTTCGGTAGTGTTGCTGTTTAGCTAGCGTGGGTGTTTCTCTCCTGCAGTCGCTCTAGAAGCATCTTTCACTTTTCTCATGGCTAACTTCCGGTATCTTTCAAGTTCCTGCACAGATCAAAAGTAAACAAACAGCTGGTTTGAAACCATCATCGGAGACCCAGGGGCTGTGAGTAGATTTCAAGTTAAGGGCAGAAGAGCTCTTCTGCCCTTAACTTGAAATCGACTCACAGCCCCTGGGTCTCCGAGGATGGTTTGAAACACGCTTTACAAAAACAAGGTCACCCTACCATCAGTGAGCATATTCTCCAAACCCTTCCTCAGGTGCAGACAAAGAGAATTTGTTTGACAATCAAGAGCTTTTTTAGTTGGTGATTATTTGCTTTATTTTCGTGACCTTAATGTATGATTACATGTTAGTCACTCTTAGGGGCAAAAAGGTTGAGGTCTGGCCGAAAACAAAGTGTTAAATGGTTCTTGCCAGTGAGTAGGAGCGCTTAGGTTTTGTCCTCTTATTTTGGCACGACATTCAACATCATAAGCACTAAAGAGTCCTACATATTCCCAGATTATTCTACACAGGAACGTGAAACTTTCTGTGGCCCTAAACATGAGGATAACAAAATCGGCCTTAAGTTACCTCATCTTTCTGTTTCCTCATGGGATCGACCGCTGGTTCAGCATACTGTAGGTCTTTAGAAGGGTCTTCGCTTGTGTTACGCCCTTGGGATTTCTTAAGTCAGATAGAGTGTTAATCATATGTATGTATCACTGATAGAGACATTTCAAATTCAACAAGCGCTACACCAAAGATTCAATCGTTGGGGAGATATCAGTTTTCTACAGGAAATGTCTTACCTCAGGGGGAAAAAACGTGGCGTAGGCAGCCTTCCAAAGCTCGTATGGATCCCTACAATGCAAGGCAAACAAAATATAACAATATTTTATGTCCGTGTGATGATGACTCAGCAATTATAGACAAAATTTACTAAGGAAACAATTTTCTCAGTGTTGTGTTATTTGATACTCACTCGTTGATCCCTTTTTCTATCATAACTTGATAAAATTACCAAGAGCGCTCAATAGCCGAAACTACATTTGATTGTGCATTTGCAAATTGTATTGTGCATTTGCAAATTGTATTGTACATTTGCAAAATCAGCTTACATTTTTAAATGTAAGCTGAAAACTTATTTATTTCGTGCAGCTTTCTCAAAGTACCCTGTCTGACAATTACTTTTATTAGTATTACTAAATAAGTTCCTTATTAAGATCCTTATTCCTAATTAAGATCCTTATTATGGATATTCCATATTATTCTTATTTTTAACATACATTGTTAATATTAATGTACATGTAATTAGTTTTATAAATTCGAATTTACTTAAGTATTCTAAGTTGTTAAGCGCTGTTGATCATTGAATGAAAATAGCGCTCAAGAAGTTATTAAATTAAATTAAATTAAATTAAATTAAATGATAAAAATGCAAAAAGGTACTTGTGGGGTTGACTGGCTCTATATTTGGAATTTGTTTCGTGAAACTCGTTTATTCCATGTTTGACCAATATGCTGTTTTCTTGTCCAATCATGTCACAGTGAAAGGGAAAATTTTACAAACGTTAGTTACCCGATAACTGATTTCAATAATATGTGTTACCATTAATGGGGGACCTTTTTACTTTAAGATTATAGCACTCGTATCATACCACAGCCTTGAATAGTTCCTTCTTGAAAAACTAATAAATTTTGTTGACTTTTACAACCCAGCGTAATCCACGCATCACACAGCCTAAAACGGGTTGGAAAGCCAAGTCCTCAGACTAGCTGTCCATCGAATAAAACTGCATCAAATCGTTGTCACGTACTTGATTAAATTTTTGAATAGTCCAAAACATTACGCCGAAGAAACATGGTTGGGAAATATCTGATCAACACGGAATAAGCCTAAGGGTGACAAAATGTGGTATTTTACCTGCTGTGCATTTTCCCCGTGTCTTGATTGCCAACTGGAGGTGCTCCTAAATAAAGGGAAAAACATCATGGGTATGCATTCGCTGGTACACAAAAAGTTTTAAGCTAAAAATTTTTCTTTTCGTGCAATATCATGTAATTTTAGAGACAAAAGAAAACAATAACACTAACAAAAATACTGCGGTGATCAGGAACTAAAAGACGAAACAATATTCTTCACCTATTTGTGAAAACGAATCCTGTCCAGCAGGAACAATGATGGGTTTGTTATGATCCACTGATATCACTTTACTGTAGAAGAATAACAAAGAAACAAAACTTCTGGTACATGTTACAAACGAGGATGAAATTTTCAGCGACAGTTTAAAACCCAGTTGAAATATTTGCGTCGTTGCGTTCGAGGCGATGAAACGGTACCCAGTTAATAATCAGCAACTAAGGGAGAGTTGTGAGTAGTTTACGGCACAGCCTCTTTTACTTGGGCGATTTTTAAGAACATACACTTGACTTTGCAATTAAGCTCCAATTTTCAATCTGAATAGCCGTGGATGCTTGCAGAGTTCATTCCTCAATCCAAGACAACTACATCGAATTTTGGCTTTTTTACCAGTCCCCTGCTCGTTTAGAAATGGATCGTGAGGATTTGTTTTGGTTTCATTTATCACGAATGAAATAAGTCAAAAGTCTGGGAGACCCCAATGACAAGAACCTTAAACCATAATTCTCAGTGCCACCCTCCATTGTTACACTGTGCGCAATTTTTTTTACTCAAGATCTCTGTGACAGAGATCTAGAGTAAAAAGATAGCGCACATACACCGTTCACATGTAAAACGAGCTGTTAATGAGCCGTGTATTTACTGATATATCAAAGACAACAAGAAGTCCCGTTTTACATCATTTGTTGACTAAGTTTCCTAACCTTAGAGACAAAGTTCTCCATTAACATTCTTTGGGTTCATGTGAAGCATACTGTAAGTGCCACACGGTCACTGACATGGAGGAAAACTCACCTGAGAGGGGTGCGGAACAACAGCGACCCCACCAGACCCCGGGTGCGGTTCGTCAGACCCTCAGCTTTAGTGCTAAAAAACTGATGAGGAAAATGAACACTTCTTTGGACTCCGAACCGGACAATTGAAATCACGGAATGTTAACATTTGAAACTAAAGTGAGTAATCCATTTGTACTGTAGGTTCGCCTTAAACCGCAATTAGACGGCGCTCAAGTAGTCCCCCCTTTTTCAGTAAAATCCGTTGCGCGAGTCGATAAAAATCAGTGACAAACCAAAACATTGATATCAGCGCGCCGCGTGGAATTCTTCATTTCGTGAGCCTCACTCCCAGAGTTCTGTGCAGCGCGCTTACATCAATTTTCTTTCCGCTGATTTGTTTCTGACTCGCGCGACGGACTTCACCTTATAGTAGGGGCAGCTTCTTAGTCGCCACCCGACCAAAAGGAAAAAGAGACTAAAACGAACCCCTCTATCGGAGTCAATACAATATTATATCGTATACAGTACCTCATTCTCTATTGCATCTTGATAGACTCAGTGAAGCGTTGACTGAACTTAAGGATTGCTAAAGCTGAGTTTTTCTTATTTAAGCGTAAAAAAGAAAGATCCGTAGTAATTCAACCAACCTGCAGATGAGCGCCGTTCTTGTGTGCCACAAATCGCAGTGCTCTACTTATCATTTTTCGTTTCTCGGGATCAAAATCCTGCAAAACCAAAATCAACGAACCATTTAACTTATAGCTAGTTTACAATCCAACATAAGGACTCCCCGAGGAGTACCAATAAAATTTGTCCTAGTGTGCGCTGTAAGTTGCACACTGGAACGTTTCGAAAAAGCCTTTCAACATCTTTTAGCCGGATGACGAGGCCGTTATTCTACCGCTGGTAATGTTTATATTGTGGCCAGAAAATTTTGATCCGTTTTCCTCTAACAGTGGCCATATTGCCTACAAAACCCTTAGTACTGCAAAGATGCAACCAGGAGCGTGTCTATCTCCAACAGCCTTCCCCACCAGCCCTCCCCACTAGCCCTCCCCAC